ACACACGAATGTCATCAACATAAAAACAGTAAATACAAATATAACCACAGGATGCCAAGCCATAGAGATAGAACTTGAGGCTCGCACACAGACAGGGTTGTCAGGTTCCTTCCACAAAGTCCTCATTGGCAGAACACTCAGAAGGACAGGTGAAGTAGTATCCACCACCATTTCAGCCCCTCCCCTTCTCGGGATCAAATAGGAAAGGAAAACAAACACAAAATGATATCACACACCAATAATCTTATTAATCATGAAAACCTGCTCACGGGCCTCTATACCGAGAGGCTGCAGAACCGACTACCTTCAGGGCATTACTCCTGAAACAGCTGCCTTGTTGGAAAACTATTACAGGCTCCACAACGAAGACCCATTTAGTGAGCAAACCCTTCAGGCAGCGCAGAGCATTGTGTCCTCCATCTCTGAAGCCAAGAAAGAACAGTGGATCAAGCTGATCACAGAGGTCGACATGGGCAGGAGCAGCCAGAAGGCGTGGAGGCTGCTAAGACGGTTGAGCAACGACCCCTCACAAACTAATACCCATGCCAACATAAAGGCAGATCAGATAGCACACCAACTCTTGAAGAATGGGAAACCCAACTTTGCCACCAAAGTAGGAAAGAAACCAATAGCCAGACAACCAGAGATTGAGAACAACAACCTCCATGAACCCTTTACATCTACTGAATTGGACATGGCTCTCAACAACCACAAAAGTAGGAAAGAAACCAATAGCCAGACAACCAGAGATTGAGAACAACAACCTCCATGAACCTTTTACATCTACTGAATTGGACATGGCTCTCAATAAATGTAAAAATGGCAAAGCAGCTGGCCTGGATGATCTACGGATGGAACAAATCAAGAACTTTGGTTCAAAAGCAAGGCGCTGGCTGCTGGAGCTGATGAACAACTGCACGGCATCCTGTCAGATCCCCAAAATCTGGAGGAAAGCAAGAGTCATTGCCATCTTGAAGCCAGGCAAAGACCGTAATGATCCAAAAAGCTACAGACAAATCTCCCTGTTGTGCCACCTCTACAAAGTTCTGGAGAGACTTATTTTGCATAGAATTATGGAAAAAATAGACCCATGTCTGATTCCACAGCAAGCTGGCTTCAGGAAAGGCAAAAGCTGCACATCGCAAGTGCTGAACCTGACTCAGCACATAGAAGATGGCTTTGAAAGGCAGCAGATCACAGGAGTTGTCTTCATAGACCTGTCAGCAGCCTATGATACTGTGAACCACCGCCTCCTCCTGAGAAAAATGTATAATATCACAAAGGACGACCACCTCACCGCCTCATAGGAAACCTGCTACAAAACAGGAGCTTTTTTGTTGAGTTCCAGGGCCAGAGAAGCAGATGGCGGAAACAGAAGAACAGCCTGCCTCAGGGGAGCGTGCTTGCTCTATCCATGTTCAACATCTACACAAATGACCAGCCACTGCCAGAAGGGACAGAGAGCTTCATCTATGCTGATGATCGTGCCATTACTGCTCAAGCAGGAGCTTTGAGATGGTAGAACAGAAGCTCTCCGAAGCTCTAGCTGCCCTTACTGCCTATTACAGGGAAAACCAGCTGATCCCTAATCCATCTAAAACACAGACATGTGGCTTTCACCTTAAGAACAGACAAGCATCCCGAGCTCTGAGGATTACCTGGGAAGGAATCCCACTGGAGCATTGCAGCACACCCAAATACCTGGGAGTCACTCTGGACCGTGCTCTGACCTACAAGAAGCACTGCCTGAATATCAAGCAAAAAGTGGGTGCTACAAACAATATCATACAAAAGCTGACTGGCACAACCTGGGGATCACAACCAGACACAGTGAAGACATCTGCCCTTGCGCTATGCTACTCTGCTGCTGAGTACGCATGCCCAGTGTGGAACACATCTCACCACACTAAAACAGTGGATGTGGCTCTTAATGAGACATGTCGCATTATCACGGGGTGTCTGCGCCCTACACCACTGGAGAAATTACACTGCTTAGCCGGTATTGCACCACCTGACATCCGCTGGGAAGTAGCAGCCAATAGTGAAAGGACCAAGGCAGAGACATCTCCAGCTCATCCCTTGTTTGGGTATCAGCCAGCACGTCAACGACTTAATCAAGACATAGTTTTCTTAGATCTACAGAGACACTCGCTGGAACACCCAGAACCTCAATCAATGGCTGATACCAGATGAGAGACTCCCCCTGGGCACACAGAAGACTGGGCGACTTGGAAGGCGCTGAACAGACTGCGCTCTGGCACCACGAGATGCGAGTGCGGAGAAATGGGGCCACCAAGTGGAATCCACGACATGCGAGTGCGGAGAAGAGCAAACCACTGACCACCTGCTGCAATGCAACCTGAGCCCTGCCACATGCACATGGAGGACCTTCTTGCGGCAACACCAGAGGCACTCCAAGTGGCCAGATACTGGTCAAAGGACATCTAATCAACTACCAAGCTTGCAAACTCTGTTTTGTCTGTTTGTTAAAATTTTGTTTAAAATGTAATACAATAGTCTGGTTGCTACTGACACGATAAATAAATAAATCACATGAATACACAGAATTCCAACACTTTTAGCTGAAACTTCTCTCCCACCCACCCCCCTCTCCTAAGAGAAGAAAAGGAGAAGTCCAAGGAAAAAGGAGAGATAGCCTTGAGGCAAGGAAAAAACTGGTTCCTTTGGCAGTTTGGGGCAAGGGAAAGAGAGGGAAAGAAACGCTCAGGGAAGGCCACTGGGCTATGGAGGGCAAATGGGAAGGGTGGGGGGGGGGGAAATGGAAATGTCTAGGGCATTTTTCCTCCTTGGCAGGGAGAGGGTCTGGAGGGGGGGTTTGAGGGGAGGGGGGCTTGGTCCCAACTTCTCTGCATGGCAAAAGTTGATCACTCTTTCCCTTTCCACCCTCCCTCTGGCACAAGGTGATGAAGCATGCGGCATAGGCCAACTTGAGGGGTCTGAGTGGCCATTTCCCCACACTGTGCCAAGACCATCACTTGGCTGGCAAGGGAGATTTCCTTGCAACCCCATCCCAATCTGCCAAGATCCTTCCTAGTGGTGTTCCGCTTGGGATGGGGCATCTTTGGCGAGCCGAGCAAGCATCCATCTCTTGCGTAGCCCCTGAATACCTTACATTTAATGGAAACAGGTCAGTGCTAACCGGAATAGGAAGGACTTCCAAAAGTTCGGTACACGAGAGCTGAGTGGCTATCACCTGGCTGATCTGTAGGAAAGGAGGAAAAAACCAAATCCCGCGACCCTACAGTCCCCAAGTCTGCAATTAACAATGCTAGACTGCTCTAAACTCCCTAGGATGCCAGATGTTCCCCGCACCTCACCTAGGGTTTGTTACTGAATCCTGGGGATCCCACCTAGTCTTCTTTATGCATCCCCGGTTGCTTTCCTTATCTGCCAAAATGATATCGAGCAGGAATTTAGTGGTTCTCGCCCTGGAAGATGAGAGCCCACAGACCTAACAAGGAGGGCCTGCTACTTTGGTGAGCGAAAAAGAAGACATGCAATATGGAATTTCCCTGATTTCCCAAATAAATCTCACCAAAGTTGAAGAAAACACCACCGAGTTGCTTTATTGCAATCCAGCTGGAAAGAATGCAAAACCGCGATATTTCATCAGGCAAGCATGCATTCAATACAAAGCTGTGCCATTTTATAGAAAATACAGGGCTGTAGATTTCAAATTCCCCTCCGCCCAATCATTAGCCGGCTTGGCTCTGATTGGCTGGTGCGCTTAACAGCTGGGACGAGGCTTGGCATTTCATATTTCATATAAGGGGCATGGGGAAGGGGAAAACATGCAAGGGAATCATATGAGGGTACATTCATATAAAGAGAAAGAGCCCATCTCCACCTCCCCCCACCCACCAAAGTCCATTGGGAAAGCCCAGGGGGCTGGGGAGAGGAACAAGTTTTAAAAAGTCCAAAGGTTCATGGGGCTTGAAAAGGTAAAGTTTCCAAAAAGTTTCTAAGAGTCCTTCAGAAGGGAAAAAAGTCCCATAAAAGTTCAAGAGAGTACATAAGTGTAAAGGGAGGTGGTTTCTCAGTAATAAATGTTACCTTCTGCTATATATGAAATTTAGGGCATAAAACCTTGATTAAATGTACACACTATCTGACATGGGAAGGGTCCCTGTTGTTGTTGTTAGTGTCTTTGCAAATTGACCAAGACTTGACCCCTATTATCCAGCCTGATGTCCTTGTCCTTAGCAAAACTATAAGTTACTATCTCTTATGGGGGGGGGAGGTCATGTTCGACCTCACTTCCACTTTGAAATGGAGTCACAATAAACAGGTGTGCACACCGATTGGGTCTGTTCACATAGTAGGAAGTCTCCATTGCAGACTCAAATCTATAGGAATATTTGGTATTTATATTATGCAGAATGCTGAGGCTTATCGCAGGATGAGCTTGTTGTGGAAATAGGAGAAATTGCTCTCAAAATTCTTGTTGGGAAGAAAGGGAAAACTTACATTTATTTTCCCAGGAAAGCCTCCTAAGGCTGGGAGAGGAGAAAGGCAAAGGAAACTGACCCCAGGAACATTGAAAGAGCCCCAGTGAGCTGTCCCTCATGTGTGGGGGGAAGCAGTCCTCCATGATTGGAGCTGAAGCCCCATGGGTGCCCCTTCGCAGTCAAAGGAACCAAGAGGCAGGCTAACTTCTTGGGAGAAGTGGGAAGTGACCTTTGCACTTAGGTAAGATGGAAGCAAAAGGTTTGTATACGCAAGTGAAAGGCAGCCTCTCTCCCACTGATCACATGCATCCGTGGTGCCATTTGCCTTCCCACATAGTTTGCAGTCAAAGACAGTAATGGCAGCGGGGTGGCTATCTTGATTCTACTTGAGCACTCGTCTTAACCTGGGGTAGCTGGACACCACTGGCTGCCATCTGCTCCCTCCATTCCCAGAACAGTCCTCCGTGCAGTCCCATTGGTGCACTGCTACTGCAAGTGAGTTCCACAACTGGTTCAGGTCCTTCCCCACTAATGGCTGCTTTCTCTCTCTCAGATTGTGAAGGTGAGACTCTGCGAGAAGAGATGGCACACTCAACACCAGAGGAGAGAGAAAAGAGACCAGCATACACACTCTTTGAAAGGAACAACCCCATAGAAGGAAGCAACCCTCCAGTGTTTGCTCTCCCTTTGAAAAAGGAAGCAAACGCAGCCTCCCTACCTAAGTACCACCTAGGAAAAGAGAACCTGAAGGCCCCCAACAAAGTCATCATGATGATGGGAGCAACAGGGTCCGGGAAGACCACCCTCATCAATGGGATGGTCAACTACATCCTGGGCATCCAATGGGAAGATGAATTCCGATTCAAACTCATTCATGAAGAGACCAATCAGAGCCAAGCTCAAAGCCAGACCTCTGACGTAACGGCTTACGTGGTGAACCATCAGAAGGGCTTCAAAGTTCCCTATTCTCTCACCATTATTGACACTCCAGGATTTGGGGACACAAGAGGAATCGAGCATGACAAATTGATCACAGAGAAGATCAGGAAGTTCTTCTCTAATGAAGGAGTCATAGATCACATTGACTCCGTCTGCTTTGTAGTCCAGGCCTCCTTGGCTCGCTTAACTAAGACCCAGAAATACATATTCGACTCAGTCCTCTCCATTTTTGGGAGAGACATAAAGGACAACATCCAAGTCCTGGTCACCTTTGCAGATGGACAGACCCCTCCTGTAATAGAAGCCATTAAGGAAGCTAATGTGCCATGTGCCAAAGAGGCCAGCCGGACAGCCGTCCACTTTAAATTCAACAATTCTGCGCTTTTTGCCAGCAATGCTGGCGAGTGTGCAGAAAGCCTTTGTTTTGATGGAATGTTTTGGAAAATGGGTAAATTGAGCATGAAGACCTTCTTTGACTCCCTGAACAGCATGAAAGCTAGAAGTTTAACTCTGACAAAGGAAGTCCTGAGAGAACGGGCAGAACTGGAAACCACCCTGGCGGGACTGGACGACCAGATCAAAGTTGCCTTGATGAAAGTAGAAGAACTGAAGAAGACGCAGAACACTGTGGATCAACACAAGGCAGACATAGAAGCCAACAAAAACTTTGAGTATGAAGTAAAAGTGAAGGAATCCATCAAGAAATCCACTGAGTATAATGCAAACAATTGCAGCAAATGTAACTACACCTGCCATTATCCTTGCAATGAAAAGTGGGACATGTTTAAACGCTTTTGTACAGCTATTAGCTTTTTCTCAGGTAAATGTAATGTTTGTCCTGGCTGTTGTTCTGTGAGTAAACATGTTCAAGAAAAAGTCAGATATGAAAGGAAAATCACTACAAAGAAAATGACCTATGAAGACCTGAAAAAAAAGTATGAAAAAAGTATGAAAGGTATATTCACCTTAGAAGTATTGCTTGAGCGCCTGAAAGGAGAGGAGGAAGAAGCAAAGAAAAAAATGGAGGAACTGATTGAGAAGGCAGCCCAAAGCTATCGGCGCCTTGAGGAAATTGCCCTGAAGCCCACCCTGGACTCCACTGCAGATTACATTGACCTCCTCATCCAGGCAGAAGAAAATGACCGAAAACCAGGGCATGAGGAAAGAATCAAGAACTTGAAGAATATGAGGAGACCGATAGAGCTGATGGGAAAGATTGCCCATGAGGCTCCTCCGCCGCATGAAGGAGAGCTTCCGCCCGAGGAGAAAGGAAAAGGAAAAGGAAAAGGCAAAGGCTGGCGATCTGTTTTTAACCTATGAAAACAAGATGGCCTCTTTTGCTTCACAGGGTTTCTTGGCAAGACTTGTGCAGAGGGGGTGTGCCACCATTGCCTTCCTCT